AGCAGTGGTATCAACGCAGAGTACTGGGCGAAAAAAATACTGTATCTCATAAAGATAGAAAAATTGGCTAATCATCAAGTTTTTTGTTTTTCTGTTCTTGGATTGATTAGCTAAACCTTCAAAAGTAATCAAGATCCTCTTCTTTCGTTAACATGATCGAAGTTTACGAAGATGACAAAAAGCGTCAAGGATGGCTTCCGCTCCCGATGGGGCCACTAGATGTGCAGTCTGCATGATCCCTCTTTCGTACATTTATTGATGACTCACCTCTTTTACATGTTGACGTCAGCTATGGAGCGAGAAATGCAGGGCTGCTTTGTGGTAATGTGCGTTATTTCACCCCATTCCAGTATACCGGCTTTGTTTTTGTAAAACTGAGAACAGCTTTACTTTTACTAAGTTCGTTAAGATCTTAGGTCCATGAGCGTGTTGTCTTCCTTCATAGCTTCACGCGCACGACGATAATTAGAACTTGTGCTCAACGACTTCTCGAATAACATGTCAGCAAGGCAGATCATAATTATGAGTGCCTTTGAAAATTTTGGCCATTCCAGCGCAGACTTGTAGGTAGCCTGTACTCAGATTTTTTTTCTAGACAACTGCAAAATTGTTGTGGTTGAACAGATGTTTCGAATTACTGACGATACTTTGTGATCAAGATGCTATTAGTAAAGTTGTAAAATGTATAAATTTCAAATTTGTATTCAATCGGGTAGCATGTGATCAAGTATGGAGCGGAGCTTTTGACATCGCACTTTCAATGCTAGCATGCTGTTCGTACCACACTAATGAAGACCCCCTAAGCTGAGTTAGTCAGTTGAGATCTGCTATGATACCACAAATCCATTTTTACGAAAACTCAAAGACAGTGTCTCAGCAGCCTTGGCTTAATCGTTCGGTGCTAAGAATTTTATGGAACAAGTTCTAAGCGCGATCCGAGTATCAGAAGTTCAACGCTAGCGGTAGATATTCGGTCTTGGTTATCCAAGTTATTCCTTAAGCTCATCGTCGATCAAGCTGATGGGTTCTTCCTCGGTCGACATTGCCTACCCTGCTGTACATTTCTTCTCAGGAGAGGTTGATAATGCCTAAGGTCTTTACGAGCAGTGGTGATGTTGCGTCAATGTCCTTTTCTCTTTAGTAATCATGACTTAACACGATAAATAACCCCTGATCGGTAAAATTTATTGCGCAGACTAGCTAAGAAATGACCAAAGGAAGACATTTTACGCATGCGGGCGCTCCATTCGTGTAAGGTAAGCTTGGCATTCAGCGTTGAACACAGTACCAAAATTCTTCCATGCCTCTTTTTGTTCTGCAGTCAAAGCTGGTCCTTTGCTTTCTAGAAATCCTACCCAGTAATCCCAGAATGGCTAAAAAAGGACGGTTTTAGAACAGCTTTAATTGAGCGAGGAAAATAGTTGAAGAATTTAATGTAGACGTTACCTTCCAAAGTGCAGGATCAATTGATCTATCGAAATGCTCATACATAACTCTGCGCACAAATGATCGATACACCGATTCCTGAAAAACTTTAAAGTGTTCGAAAATAACTGAACAGAAAATCTTTATACCTACATTTTCACAGACATTAGCCAGGACGTGCACGAACAAGAGTATAGCGTCTCCCAATTTGTCAAATCTGCAAAAAGTACGTATGCTCAGGAAGGGCAAACCTTCATTAAACCTCTCGCTCTTTTCCACATCATCACCAGTGTAGTTCTCAGCACCTTTGTAGAAGTGACGATGTTCAGGATGAGAGGTGAAGAAGCTAAAAGCAACGCTTGACTTTCGCAAAACAGACCTGCTTATAACGAACTATTTGTAGAAGTCTCTTCCGTGATGGCCATCACCAAGTGGAGCCACCTTGAGAGATTCGACGGTGTGCCTTCTGACGTCAGCGGGCTTCCTTGATGAGCAATAATGACATAATGCGTATAACACATTAGAAATGGAAACAAAACATGTGCGGATGAGCCGTGACTGTACGGAATTTAGGGGAGTAGGAGAGGCAAGAAAATGTCACCTACTTCCCTGTCATACATGAAAGTATTTAGCATTTTTTAAGCATTTAATTTTTTCATGAAGAAAAAAGTACCAACCCACAATACAATTTATATCTACCCAAACTGCAAACACAGCATTTTAATGTGCACAACTGAAAATTTTCAAAGATCAAGAACTTACATCACGCACAGCAAGCAAGTGGTGCTGAAAAAAAGTAGCTAGAAGCTTTTAAACGTATATCTCCAGCAGCACGGACGAAAATTCTAGATTAAGCTGATGTTTGGGAATTCAAGAGTCAGAATGACAACAATTCGACCGAATTTCTTTTATGCGATGTTCGTAATTCATATGTCTTTCTTGGATGTTCAGTGTTTAGCCAAGACTTAGTTAATCAACGCAAGAAGATGCGTCTGGGTGGATGTCTATCAGCTAGAAATGCCATTTTCACATATCAGGAGTCCCAGTCCCGAAAAATGACAGAAGAGCGTTGCTCTACTACAAGCAAGTCAGTAGCTAGAATTTACTTTTATCTGAATATGCACACTTGTAAGAAACCCTTGATATGCATCTTTTCCGTACTTCAACAACTATTGACAATGGTATTTGTCAGGAATTGTTTGCAACATCCATACAAATGTACGAGATTAGGCCACTTAAAGATTCTGCTCAACACAACAGCATGTATAGGAACTGAGGAGGAAAGCAAATTTTCAAATCTGTAGGAGTGTTTGTTTAATTTCAAAGGCAGAAAATGTTTCCACATGCTGAATCTGCTTCAGCACCATATTTATAGCTTAACAAGAGCGCATATGTGATGGGGTGCACGCTCCAGACGGATAATCTCTAATTACTGTAAACTCTGCTTCCTGCTAATTTCTGCGTAGGACGTGACAACTGCACAGAATTGGACACTTTGATAGAATATTGCAGATTTTAAAAAGAAGGAAGAGCTTGGCAAAAATGAGGTTTATGATCCAACTACAGTGATATCTGGATCGGTAATATATCGCTTACGGGATCAGACATAAATGTGTAAATATCTTCGCTAAAAGTCCAGATACAACAGAGTACCTCTTTGCTCAATTTGGTGCAAGGACTTACTCAAGTGTGGTTCTCTTTTATATTGTAAGGAACTTAGTATAACTCGATTAGCTTGCTTTATAGCCTTAAGGCTTTTATCGCTGGACTGTTATTAAAGAATATATTCTGCCCCATCTTTTGCTACTGATGTTTGATCATTGTAAAGCTCGCAAACCCCTCATTAAAAATAAATGTCCTTGATAGCAGCTTTTTTCTAAAAGGGTTGAAAAAAGTTTGTTTTAGGTATGTTCAATGCTTTTTAGAGCAAAATCGGTAAACGGTACTTCAATAATTGAGCTTGCTAAACGAATATAAGCGACGCAGTTAAAGAAGCTGCAGCAATCCATTCCACTAAGATCTTTTTGTTACTAATCTAGGAATCTCCTCTCAAAAATATTTGTTTTGCAAGCGAACTACAAACTACAACAAGCAATATTCCAATTTCTCACTTGCACACATGTTCAGCAACACTGATGGTTTAGTTTCATTATTACATTTGTTGTTGCAGTTCACTTGAAAACATATAATTTGAAAGTAGTTGTTAATGGACGTAGAATTTTTGTAATATTGCTTGCAGAAGTTCTCATCTGCCGGATAATGTAAGTTTATAAGTTTATTGAAATTTCTGCTGTTTTGCTTGAGCACTCGGTGAAATAAAATTGCTTAGAATAGACTCTTGATCTCTCCGACTTACAATTCGTCTGAGATTGTATTAATTATGCAAGCATCACTAAGTTACAACCAGTTTCGAAAGAATGGATATGCCGAAAGGAATTACCGATGACAAACGCTGCACCAACAAAATGCCTACGCCGAACGTCTTTTTTATGACAAACACTGCGACAAGATTTTTTCCGCTTTTTGTCCATGACTAACGTTGCAACATAATTTCCAACAAAAACGTCTGCTTACGGTGAACGCTTTTTTCAATGACTGCACGCTATACAACTTCGCAGTGCAGTCTCTCGCTTTGCTGCAAAAGAGGAGTTCCCTTAAAGTTGATTAATCGCGCTTCGTTCCAGAGCTTATACACATAAACAGTTACAAAACAGTTTGTAAACAGTTTCTTTTTTCGCAGTTTTTCGTACTTTTTCTTATGATACATTATGCATTTAAGCGAGATCAGAACCTAAATTACGCTTGCTTGAATTTCATCATCACACCTTTTCACCCACTCCCCGATTTGCATTCAAGCTTGAAAGAAGCAGGCCTTTGGTTACAAGAAATACCGAACATTCTGAGTTTCTATTGTGATTTGGGCATACCAAGTCGAGTCACTTGCTTATTCCACAACCAAATTTATGAATGAGCGGCTGTGGAGAACTTGGTTTTCACGCTCAACATGCAATAGACTTCTTCAAATCTCATCAAAAGTTGTTTTTAAGCTTCCTTTTTAGGCAACCAACCGAGGTCACTAAACATACTGTCGCATCACTTCGAGCAGCTCCTGTCGGAGATGGCCACCATGGAAGGGATTTCTACAAATAGTCAGAAATGAGAAATTGAAAGTGCACAAAATTCAGAATCAATTTTAGTTTCTTTGAAACCCACCCTGAACATCGTCACTTCTACAAGGGAGCTGAAAATTACAGTGGTAAAGATGTGTTGAAGAGCGAGAGGTTTGTTAGGGAAAGTTGAGTAAACTCTCACTCCTGTCTTTTTCTACAGATTTGACAAGCTGGGAGATGCCATACTGCTTTTCGTGCACGTTCTAGCCAACACCTATGAAAATGTAAGACCTATGCAGATTAGATGATTATTCAGATTATTCGTAGAACAATGTTTTTACAGGAATCCGTTTTTCGCGCTTTTGTCCATAGAGTGATGATTGAGCACTTCACGAGAAACATTGATCCTAAACTCTGGAAGGTTAGGATACTATCAGTATTGTCGGTAATGTATCAAATTGAGCGTATTTTTCTTAGCCTTTTTGGGAGTTCTGGACCGGTTACTTGAACAGCAAGGGAGCAAATCTTTCTGCTGAACAGCAGACAGCGTGGGATATTCTGGGCACGAGATTCAACGAGGAAGCCCAATCATATCTGGCCAAAGTTGGACGCGACCACGCTTAGACTCAAATGTGATTTGATGCGGTGGACATCTGCTACGAATGAATAAACTTATCAGCAATCTTTTTTCCAAACATGTGCACAGGGTATATCAACATAGGCGTTTATGAGTTTATTTGTTCATCCTCTGACTAGAGGGCCTTTCAGCAGCCAATCCAAGTAACCCAACAAAGAATGAGAGTGTCCATGATGGTGTGAAAGCTGGACGTAGAAGGTGGCTTGGAAGTGATGTAGGCCTTCTTCGCGTTTTGTACAGTATTATTAGCACAAGAACCAAGAATTCAGCACGTTGCTCAACCACGCTCTTCTCCAAACACTCTTTCTATACTAAACAGTTAAAACTAATCACTTTCTTTTTTTACTATTTTCTCACTCACGTATTTGTAGCCCTTAAATAGTTTGTGCTATCAGACGTAAAGTGCTTTAAACCACCAGAAATCTCTGAGAAAAAGGAGAAATTTTGAATTGGTGCAATAATGAGCGAGTTGCGAGTTCTCACATTCAAGTGCTTATTTTTCAATGCAATGTAGACCATTTCTCTTGTCTGCATTGTAGGACCAAGCCTACTGAATAATAAAAGTCTTTTAGCTAAAAACATTAGAGTGTTATCTACAGTACAATTACATCGTTTTGAGCGAGAAACATAGAGGGTTTTCTTAATTGCAGCGCGAGGATTTCCGAAGTGACTTTATCCCAGAACAGTCATCACTTTAACGAAAGCAACTATGAAGCCGGGTGGGTCACATTGTCCCACTGGAAGTTATTGTAATCTACATAAACACTCTTATCGAAATGGCCGTTTTGCAAGGCTGTCCACAAGTCTTTGTACCATGCTTACTTGAGACAGATGATCATACTGGCTGTAAAATGCTCAATGCATGCCTAATTTCAATCAACAATCATGTTGTCTTTTGGGAAAATGTGGATTGCTTCCCGTACCTTCCCGTACTTCCCTGAAAGCTTCAAATCTACTTTAGAAAGCTCAGATGCTTCCTATTCTCTTTTGTGCAGAAATTGCGCAACCGGGAAAGAATACAGAGATGTGTTTTCAATTTTTTCTTCCAATCGTCTCTAACAATTCATATCCTTTACTGATGTTGCTTGTTTAGTAATGTAAGGAGGAGATTTTCTTAAGGATAGTGGGAGAAAATGATCAATTCCTTATAGGGGTCAGAGACTATCGTGAATTCTTTATAGATTTCCGCATGTCTACGCATGTGTTTCCTATCAACCCAAATATTATATTCCAACGTTCTGCAAGAAGTTACTACCCATTCAACAAGTCAGAGGACTTTGCCTGAGATTTAACCAGAAATTGTTTTGACTTCCTGCCCGAGGTTGCACCCACCAAGAATCATCTTTGGTCTTTGACTTTGTTTACCATTCTAAAACTATCATAACTAATCATTAGGTGATTGGCCGACTTTACGATTTGACTATGCTTTCAATATACGCCCGATGATTCCGTGTTCTCAAATTTACCATTTTTCTTTCTTTAAGCACAAGCTTTGTTGATTTCTCTATGAGCAGAGCTTTAAATAAATTATATATTCAACGAATGTTGATTGAAATTCCTCGAAAAAGCTGATCGTTTTTATTCAGTAATCCTATAGTTAGGAAGAATGCTAAGATTGCTTGTGACTCAAAAATATAACTATTTCAGCAAGATTCTCTTATCGTTTTACTATCTTTAAAATGGCATTTCAGATGCGAATGAGAGTCAGTAAAAATCTTATTGGCCTTATTAATAGAATTTGAGGTTCTAAGATACTACGTTGCAGCCATGACCAACAAAAATTGAGTGTTGTCAGCATGTTGAGCATTTTCATTTAACAGCACTTTATTTTCAACTGCTCGTCGTTGAAGACTGCTCTCTAGAACTACTTAAGTTTTCCCACCAGTAAATAAATTTTTTGAATTTGGTCAGTATGTTGACAAGCATTTTAATTTGAAATTGCTTGATTTTATAAAACCGCTTGTCATCAAATATTGCTCCTTGAAATTGCTAAAATTCATAAGCGAACAAGTTCACCCTTCTTCTCCGCCTCGCTCACACATGAATTTATACTAACAAGTTGTAAGTTGACATTGTTACCCAAGAACTATGAGTATCTGATGTTGAAGCGTTCACTTGTATTTCCAATTACAGCAGCTAAAATTCAAAGACGGTACGTCTTAGCCTAAAAGATACTGTTCATATAAACAACTATTACAGCAATCAAATTTACCTCATTTACAGTCGTTTTTTTGAGATTATATCTTTCGAAAGTGGTAAAGTGGTAAATGCTTTCTTGGCACCGCGATAGTAGCATGGCTCTAGGATATATGCAAGTCATGTTTAAAACGCTTGAAGGAACTCTGACGTATAAAAACGCTTTAGTCTCTGGCGTATATTAATGGTCTAGTTCTCCATATGGATGGATGAACTTCTCAGATGGACTTTAGTGCAAATTATTACGGTGTCCCATAATTTTTCTCGGAAACTGGGGCACCTTCAAAGTTTAATATATGCTCGTACTTCTATATGTATGAGCTAAATGAGTGCGTAGCAGGAGCTCGGGATGTCTAGGCCTGGAATTTGGCATTTTACCCCATTCATTTTTTCTTTGCTTCTAGCCATAAGCAAATTACGAAAATAGTACAATTAAATCTGCGATGTGGCAAGGATAAATATTAGGTTGTCCCATAATTATTTACCGTTTTTACTTCGACGGTCGTCTTTTTGTATTTATCCTTCATCTGATGCGGCTTGAGTAAGCATTCGATAAGGCAAAGCAAGCTCTACAAGATGGCTATCAAGAGTCTGCGTAAGTCATAATCCACCTAAAGTTTTGAGCTGAAATATGGTAGTAGTCAAAAACGAACTTTTTTGTCAAAAATCGTATCTCCGTCCCAAAGTATCTAAAAAATTCCAAATTTATTCCGGCATATGCTTGACACATCGCACATTCGAATGCATACTTTTCGATTTTTTTTCCATTTCTAGAAATAAAGAAAAAATGAATGAGGTAAAATGGCAAACTCCGCCCCTAAAAGTCCTGAGCTCCTCCCACACACATGATCATATGGCTCATACATATAGAAGTACGATCATGTATTTGAAAATTTTAAAGGTGCCTCAGTTTTCGAGAAATGCTGATGTTTAAGGAAACAGTAAATAATTTTGGGACACCCTAATGGGTTAGGATAAATAGGGAATTTTTGGGGCATTTTGGAACGGGGATACAATTTTTGAAGGAAAAGTTCGTTTGCTATCAGATTTCAGTTCAAAACTCCCGGTGAAATACGGTTTGGGCGAATTCTTCATGGCCATTTTGTAAAGCTTGCTTTGCCCTGTCGAATAATTACTCAAGCCACATTAATTGAAAAAAATACAAAGAGACGACGGCTGTAGTGAAAACGGTAAAAAATTATGGGACACTCTAATAGATGAATTAGCACTTCTCCAGAGGCCGAGATATATAATGACGCTGCAAAAACCTATGACCCCAAAATGGCCGTTGACCAGTGACATGCACATACGTTTATTTATTGGAGCTGATGTGCTTACACTCCCTTACACGACTCGTGCTTGGCACATGGTGTGTCCGAGGTGGAGAAAGTGCGCGGTAAACAATACCTATCTGGACGAAAAATTCACTTCAAATGCAGCCAACACGCTCTTTCTCGCAGATACATCTCTTCTTGTACTTTTCTTCCAAGTTCCGGTTCTCAGAGACTATTTCAGCCTTAGCAAATCCTTCGCCACTTCTGCAAAAGTTCGTCTTTCGTTGACATCTCTTTATTTCGATGAAATTCTACGTCAATTGCAAAATATTTGACTGACATAACTTCTGTGATTTGGCATTTTTTACCATTTCTTATAGATTAGGGGGCATAGTCGGGTGTCATCTAGTTATCTTATCGCTCGCATAGTTTAATCACCTGATTACATGTAAAATCAGATGTCGAATAGGTTGAAGGGCAAATTTTACGGGAACAAAAAAAAACCGAAAATCTTACTTCTGTTTCTATGTTTCTATTTCCACATATTACACATATACATTCTTCCATATTTTTTTCCATTTCTATCTCTTTTTCTTGCCATCAATTGAGATTTTGTGCAAATATAAAAACGAAAGTGAAAGTATGACTCACAAGAGGAGGACACCTTTCAGGAGCACCGTTCTAACTTCGAAAACTTCTAGAATAATTTCATGTCTTGCACCACCATGCAAATTTTTTGACATCAAGCACCAGCTGCCAATGAGCACCCCAGCGTTGGCTCTCCATTGAATGGAGCAACAACTCCTTTTTGCTGAAACTTTAAATTCCCGGAAATACCTCATGTAAAAGTATATACTAAGGTCTACGTTTGCACCTAAAAAATTACTTTGTATGAATTCTACATGGAACAGCTTCATCATAACTGCCAGATCCCTTTTGACCATTTTTGAATTCACAGTAGCGAAATAATTGCAGCAAATATGCTTAAAAAATCTACTGGGTTGTCTGGAAAATAATGTCGCATCGTATTTTATCATGCAATGCAGTTTTGACCTGTTCTTGTTTGTCGTACTGTAGCCATGGGAAAATGCCACAAACTATAAAGGTGAATGTCTAATGTGGAGATTACATGCCTGTGCAAATTGGAGATTCCTAAGACGTCTACGGACGGAGATACGACTTTTCGGGTTTAATGTTTTATGTTTTGGATCGGACTTCAGGTGCAGCGAGATTTCTGCGAGCTTAGCTAAGTTCTTGTGGGGCTGCTCTATTGAATGATATCCTATTCCTTGGTTTTGTCTTCACTCTGTAGCGGTAGGATTCCATGCGACATTATTTTCTGGACAACCTAATTTGTCTAAAAGTCGCGCAATCATGACTTGTACGAAAATGTTCTACAGGCCGTATCTTTCTTTGACCAGAATTGCCTAGTTGCAAGTAAAAACAGGATTGAAATTTGCTTAGTAGTCTGTTTGTTAAGAAAAATATCTGAAATAACCTGTAATTATTGTACTTGGGCTTGCTATGATACTGTTTTTCCTACTGCGTCATTTTGTACGCAGATTTCTAAATCATCTGAAAGTTTGTGCCAGGTACGAAAAAATATATAATTATGGTGATCTAGCTAGATGTTGAATCTTCTTTATCCTACGCAAAACAGTTGGACGTTTGCTGTGATTTAGATCACAGGTGAGAGTAAAGTTAGTTCATGTTGCAGCGAACCTACATCTCTCGCAATTGCTATAGAATAACAATTCGAAGTACCAAATATCTCCTGAGTTCATAGCAGACAGTGTTTGCACTTTCTTATCTATGCTTTTGTAATAAAGTCGTTAATAAGGTTTTTATGGCTTTCGTGTTGGCGCTGACTATTTGGTCATCTCAAACTCTTTTCGGTAGATGATGTTTTGGACACTAGCTTTATAGAAACTTTGAAGATTTTTTGATGATAAATAAACCTCAACATTTTGTCTAGAAACATCAACTGCGAAACGCATGCATCTGCTATCTATGTATCATAAGTAAAGGAATTTTATCAATGAAATGAAAATTCGATTGTTTATTCAGTAACTTCAGTCTCAAATGTTATCGGGGTGTAACATAGAAAGCCTTTGATCTTACTGCCGGATATCTAGAATTTGCGTCATATTACTTGGAGGCAACAAACTGACATTTTTAAAGCCAACAGCTACATCTTTTGCTCTTCACTTTCTGAGCTTCGAATTCGATGACTGAAGGTATGAGATTGCGTTTAATGTAGCGCGTAATCACTCCAAAATGCGAAGGCAGAGGCACGCAATCTAGGCACTGGACCTTACGTAAAAACAGAGGGAAGCCCGGACCGGGCCCCTGTCCAAGAGGCAGTTCTGTGGTTCTTTCGTGATCGTGAAATTCAACTCCAAATACGGACCAGACTACTTCCGGGCTGATAAGTTAGCGCCCAAGTAGAAAGTACGGTATGGGCTGGGGTTTAGAATCAGATTTCTGTACTGCGAATGAATCACTTGTGCTGCTTGAACTATAACCTTGGATAAGCCTTGGTAACCTAGGCATAACGCTCCCATCAATATCCGCATGAACCAAGTGCCAAGTCTCTGAACATTGTTGTCAAAGCATACGCGTATATTCATCTTCCACAAATTTTGTTTAGGTTGCAAGAGCTTTGATGCAAGGTTACCCACAATATATTTTGTACAGAGAAATAGGTGCTGATCGTATGACGCAAAATGGTGACAGTAGTGTTAATAGTTCGTTTTTTTTTTTATTTTCATCGTTAAGAAATTTTCTTCACATGTTATATAATAGCTTGCAAGCTTCCCCAGAATTCCGAGAAACCGGCTGGCAGCGATACTACCTTAACCAAACAGATTGTATGTCATAAGCCAATTTATCTGCTACATCACTGCATTGCCTCCAATGCACTTTTTCGCACTTTTTTCGTGTTATTAGGGTCAGCCCAGTCATGCCCTTCCTTATCAGCTTTTACCACTGCGTCAAACTTCAGTAGTACTTTGCTACCGCAAGCATGTTGGCTGCTGTTTTTTCTTATACTGCCAAAAAAAAATGAAATTTATTCGTAGCAGTTTGTGCCTATAAAAGGAAAGTTTTCCTTTTGCGAAAAATAATGATTCACTTTTTTCAATCGCAATCGTACCAATCCTTACTGTCGGAGAATTTGCTTTCGCTAGGTTATGGTATGGTAAAAAGGTCATTTTTACTCCCTAGCAGAAGTTCGAAATTGAAATTATTGAGTTAGGCCCAGAAAGATTTTGAAGGTATTGTTTGAGGTCCACAACTTCTCTCTTTCAGAAAAAAAAAACAGATTGCTAATGAAAGCCTGCTGAGAAGTTGCAAACTAAAAGAAGTGTGGTGTGGTTCAAATTTCATTTTTTAAAATTTCATTGAGTTGCTCGCAGTTCATGTATTGCATTTTCTTCTAGTCTTCAAAACTGTGTCTCACGAGCTCAATTCTTTCCATTTGCTTTCAGTAACACTTTTATCTTCAGAGGATGATGATGTATTACTATAGCATCTTTTTAAAAACCAATAATTTTCGTCTGACAAAAACAAAAATACGTAGAGGTTACATAACTCAGTTAGAATGCATGTTCAAGGGGAACTTGATTACAACACTCGACCCTTTGGAAATGCAAGCCAATAAGTATGTCTCCTTTTTGTTTTACTTGCATAACGGTTTTTAACAAAATAACAACCACGCAAGATGTCGTCTATGTCTATACTACTGATACGTCTAAACTTTGAAACTTTGCCTCTAAATTTTTGGGGAATTCTTTCAGTTATGCGGGTATGCATCGTAGGCGGTGGCGGCTTTCTGGGTTGTGAGTTAGCTGCTCGTCTCCAGTCAACTGGTGCTCATACGGTTCTATTAGATGTCAGTTTTCCAGAGCATACGAATATCAAACTAGATGAGAGACTTACAACTGTTGTGCAGGTGAGCGCTAATATCATGATATGCATAGCAAAACCTTTATTACTGATGTAGGGTTCAGTTCTGGATGAAGAGAAGGTGTGCGAAGCATTACGAGGATGTGAGTCATGTTTCCACATAGCTGCTTATGGCATGTCTGGAATTCAAGCTGTAAGTTGATGTATATTATCTATTTAGCCTAAGAATTGTCTCTACAATCGTCATGATGATATAACTATAAAATTGGAATACATTCACTTTCTTACATCGATTGTTTTGCAAGATGAACGATAGCAATTGCCAACCGTCACAGCTAACTCATGGTGGTGCACTATTTTCTCTGAAAGCTCAAAATTCAGAGCCAGTAAAGAAATAAATGCCCTAACTGATGAATTTTGCTCGGACGACGCTGACTAGGTGGTGATTTTGGTGTTGCTACTTAAAGTTCCACCTTCGAGACCCTCTTTTGTTGTTTTGAAATCACTAGCGACCCTAAGGGCCGTTTGCAAGTGCGTTAAGGCAATACATTTTAGTCGTATAGTTGTCATCACAATCACCTCTACGTTTTATACCTTTTTTAGGAGTTCTGGGTAACAAGAAAGCTTTTAATCAACGACTTTTGACTCTCTTATAAGAATCCATTTTGCTGATTCGATATCTTTTGACTCTCTTCTGAAAATCTTCTTTTGGCAAAATTATTCCACCAATACTGAGGGTCACCCAACAAATTTGAATGTGAATGCGTCAGTATGATATCAAAATTTTATTCCGCCCAGCGATTTATAGCTTGAGGGCATCCTTGTCGTTCTAAATTAGAGCAGTAAAGTATAAATCATGCAAACAACAAGCATATAGTTTCCTCGCAAAAACCTTACTAGCTTCTGGACACAAATCAACATTTCATCCTAACTCATTCGACTTTCCATATAGCAATTGCTATAATTTTTTTATTAGGACATTTCTCCTTTTTGGAAAATCGCTTGAGAACTTCCGAGAAGTCATGAGAATTCCAATCACTACTGAATTTTCAGTTCAATCGCGACCTCATTTTCCGAATCAATGTTGATGGAACGCTGTTGCTTATGAGCTGCTGCAAACGTTTTGGTATATCGCGTTTCATTTATACATCGAGTGTGGGTGTCATTTTTGTTGGCAAGGAGCTCGTCAATGCTAGCGAGACTTATCCCTATCCCAAAGAATCAGAGGTACTTTGAAGAACTTCTTGCTTGGAGGAGTTGATAAAAGTCTTGCAGTATTTTTCGTGGTACAGTGCATCAAAAGCTCGAGCAGAAAAGCTGGTTTTGGCCTCAAATTGTGCAGAGTTGAAGACTTGTGCGTTGAGATTACGAGGCATTTTTGGACCAGGAGAACCGCGGTCGACTGACAGGGCCGCTGTAAGTATTACGAAACAATGGCTTGGTAAATTTGAGTAGTTGGACTATGTGGATAAAGTGAAATCTTTACATAGAAACTTGCAAAAGAGCAGCTTACACGACCCATTGATGACCAACAGTTCGACTCTGAACTTTGGGCCAAACCGTATTTTCGAGTTCTGGAATACGGTAAAGGCTACGGTCTGGGGAAGAAATGAAGATAACAAAAAATTTCTCGGTGACGAATAAGTCATGTAAGCTGCACCTCCCATTTCTCTGATTAGGGTATTTTGTTCCCACATAAGAAAAGCATGCGCTCAGATTCAGCACATTGCCACACTGATTTACCACAGTGCCATTGATAAGTTGAAGAGTTCCATAATTTTGCTTTAGGATATGATTCACAAGGGATTTTTCATCGCGACATTCGCGGAAAAAGGCAAAGCCTTGACCCAGTACAGTGGAATCTACAATGTTACACAAGCCATGTGCAATGCTGATATGGAACTGGCCAAACCACGTCCAAGATGTGCAGGAAAGGTCAGAAATTACCCAGACGGCTGTCTCCCTCCCCTCCCCCTCATGCCACGTAGCACTCAAATTTTTCAGGTCTATCACATAGTGGATGATGATCCTGTTGACTCTTTCATGTTCTGGGCTCCTCTCATAAAAGCACTGTCACAATCGCCGCCTTATTTGAGGCTACCGTTTCCACTAATATATTTTTTCGCCTATCTTACCGAGTGCCTGGCTATCTGGTTTGGAATCCCGCCACTGCTGAATAGGTAGATTTTTGGTTTATTGTATTATATATGGTATACTTTTATGCTTGGACGTAGCGTAATCGCTTTTGAATCCCCATGTTAAGTCGGAGGAATTTCTGAAAACGACTAATTTAAATCGATGAAAAATGTAAAAAAATGAGAGGTTGCATCTAACAATAAGCTGAAATCAGTTAGCATCACTCAAACAAAACTCTAATTTTCAAGCTCAAAGCCTGACGTTTCTTTTTCAATCCGAAATCCCTTTTTTTAGTCGCTGTAAGTCTCTAGCCCCTAAGGGTCAATTGCCCGAGTGGATAATGATATCTTTTGAAACGAACAACTTATATACCACTCACAACTACTTTTGTGGGTCACATTCGGTCAAAGGTACATGGGATATAACAAATAAAAATAAAAGAATCACAAGTCAAAGAAAACATATAAATGTTCTTCTCCAAAAATTTCGTTTTCCTGAATTGTGAAAATTTGTTGTGAATGGGATTATACACTTGCAGACTGGAGGTAGCCCTTATTGGAGTAACGAATACCTATTCGATTGAAGCAGCAAAGAAGGATCTCGACTATAAACCCACTAATAACCATGATTTGACAGAGGTGGGTAAAACACTGTGATCATCTATAGAATTTAGAGAAGTGAACTTATTTTCAACATTTTCCTTTTGCTTCTGTAAAAAAAAACTCAGCAGAATAGATATACAAGACAAAATGCTTATAAATTCTATTTCTAAGAATAACTTTCCTCCCAACTCTTTCTGCTAAATTTATAACTATAATATTATGAATGGATGACTCTCGCATGAGAAAGGCAAAAGCTTTCGTTTAGGTGGTGGACTATTACAAGAAACTCTACCAAGCTCAGGGCTCCAAAATCAATCTACGCTTCATTATAACGGCTCTTTTTGTGGCTGCTCTTGTTTTATTTATCTTTTTCCGCTTTCTGTTATAATCTTACTTAGTGCCTTGTTTTTTTTGTGTGATGAAAACGAGGTGGAAAACAGATTAAAAGGGTCAATTTTCCCAAGCTCAGTCAATTTACATGTATATATTCGTTATACATCTTACTAAATCTTGTGTTAATTTCCTTCCTTGCTTGTATGGATCCTTTATTTTTCCAAAATTTGTTTTGTATGAAATAAATTATTTAGTCGTCGTCAGTGAAAAGCAGCAGCAAAAGCATTTTTCTTCCAACTAACATTATCAAGACGCATAGATGGCGATGGATGGCTGCGTTCACATTTTTGCTGCTCAAGACCAGCGCAGTTTTAAGGTCCCTTTGTCAACAACACGCATAAGATGCCCACTAGCAGACCCACTGCGGCTTCACGGCTCTTTTATGGCAGCACGCTCAGATGACCCAAAGGGACGCAATCGTATGGTGTCTTTTGATCAAACGGTTTTCATTATAGAGTGTTTTTCTCAAAAAATTTTGACCTCTCCTAGAGGGTTTAAGGCAAAATGTATTATTTATATCGCAGTAGTAAAATTTAGTCTGTCTGATAAAGAAAAGCTTGCAAAAAGTGTCTTCTTGAATTTTTCTTGCTACAATTGCTGGAACTTCTACTGAATTCTCACTGTACTTCTGCGTTTATGATTTTATGACTTGCTTCTTCTATTTGAGGTACTTTCGTGCTTGTCGGAGGTTCCTACAAATAGTTGAGATTATCGAATTCTTCATTTTTTTGCTTTCAGATCGAAATAATCTCTAATGTTTACGATAAGATGCAGTTCTTGTTAAATGTTACAAAGAGTAAACGATGCGCTTCAAAACCATCATTTGAACTCTTTTAAAACGGAATTACGTGTATCTTTGGTGCAAGACTAACTTTGTATCAACAAATGAGGTACGTTCAATTTTGTACAGACTTTCATACATGCTCGGACGAAAGTAGTGAGTCAAGTCTGAACTTACAAGACCAAAGCTTTAGCTCTAGAAAATTTTTTGGATGAAATCGGGTGTTTTGCATTCTTTATCTGAGGTTGATAAGGAGTTCGAAAATTTTCGCCTGAAGAATACCGGCGGTAATAAGCTGACTGGAGGACGAAACCCGTTAAACCAGAGAACACCTTAGACTACTATCTCGCACAGTTCACTGGACTGACTTATCGAATCTTAACAATCCTTTACTTTGTATTTAGGGTACCAAGTTAGTAGGGATTTGCAAGAATTTTTCTAGCAACTCTTTACTGTCTCTAAAGCGTTGTATCATGAACTGCGATAGAAGAGACTTATAATCATTTTTTTTGCATTATGACAAAAAAATAAGATATGAAATATGCTTTGCAAAAACTTTAAAAGCCAAAGCATCAAAAAACATCCGAGAAACAAAAAAATTCGAGATTCCGTTATCAAAATTCTCACTTCAAACAGAGTAATTCAAGGTCTTCATTGCAAAAATTAGCTATAACTAAGCAAAATTACGACTAGATGAAATGAAACTTCCTTTTCCAGTATTTTCTCATTTCCTACCGAATGGCTTACCACACACTCGACTATAACGGTATGTTGACATACCAAGCAACAAGTACTCGCTGACGTGATCGACGGTCATCGGATGAGTGTTGTCGCGTACGAAGAGTCATTTCCTTTGATACCACAGTTTGAAGTACTATGCAAGGGTGGTACGTGGCTGAACTAAACTGTTTGTATTTTCAAACATTCACCACATTATGCTGCGGATCTGTATCCTACTAAATTCTGCTGGTAAGAATTTTAATGTGAAATTACCGTAATGTTTCTTGGTTCCAGAAATAATTGAGCATAATAATAATATTAGGTTGGTACATAAGTTCTGTCGCCCATGTTTGAAAAATCGTAATTTCTTGATCTCCCAACGAATTTGCACATGCTTAATTTTGCTAGATAGGGGAAACCGCAAATTATTAGTGTGCAAATTATTCAAAAATTCACCGCAGCTTCATTCACCAACTCCTGAATAAAATTTTACGATAGACTCGCTATAGGAGTTTCTGCTTAAGGAACGAGCAACTAAGCGCAAAATAAGTGCGAAGGATTTTCCACTCCGGTTTCTCATGAATTCGCAGTATTTTATTCGAGACAGTGAATCATTTCTCCCTTTGTTCAGCTCAAAAATCAATCACGGCACTTTTTGCTATAACTTCTGCTGAAAAAAATGCTTCTTCTCCTGTTCTCTCCCTCCTTCACTGTGATAGAAAAGGAATTCAAGAGTAATCTCCGAAAGATTGAAATTTTGTAGGAATTTTGCTATCCTGTCGAATTGATAGCAGTCTTCATGGTGTCTACAAGCGGCAAATGCATTCCAATCGCAACCTCATATTTGACAGTACATTCAAGGACCCCGTAATTTATGATGAGGTAAACTACCTGGTCCCTTCTGCAACAACAGTCAGTGCAAACGCTGTCCTGGCAAATCTTATTCAGTGAAACTAATTGTGAGGCCCAACAATGCTTTTCTCCAAGCGGTAGCAATATTTCAGTGTTCAATGCCTAGAAAATCAAATCTAACTCTGAACTCTCGCCCATACCGTACACCTTTCATGCGGATCCCTGAGTGTGCGGTATGCGTGAGTTGAGAAATGAATTTCTCGTCCGCAAACAAACCATATGAAAAGCCATGAGCAATGACTTGCTCAAGGTCTTTTGTTTGTACTGGAAGCTCTGACCAGATTTGTCTGGGCACTGCCGTAAGGTACATGACACTGTATGCAAATCGATTCATTCGTATAGGTAACAATTTCTACAACGACAATAAGTGACTATGGTGATTGCTATGAACAATTCGGACTTTCTTATGTGTTTGGCATGAAGTATGTCGGTGCTTTTATTTTTAGAAAACGTTTATTTTTTGTGCAAATTCCAGAAGAATGGGTCGGCCCATCTGTTACAAGTGCATCACTCCTATATTGCGATCGGAAAACGTGCTACAGCTTGCACATCAGCAAGGTGAGCTTTAATGACCTAAATCATGATTGAAAAATTGCGGATGCCTTTGCAGCTGAGTGAAAAATAGGTTACCCAACGCAGTACAAAGTATCCTTTCGGAAACGTTGTAGTAGCTAATCCACTCCTCAGAAATCTCAGTAAGCATAATGTCCGACTTCCATCAGAAATACTGGCAAGGCACTGGTGCAAATTCTGGCCAAACAAACCATTCCGAACTAAAATGCAAATCGTAACAATAATGGAGGGAGGGGGGTCATGTAGAATTATAATCCTTGCGGTAAAAATAGAACATTCTTTATTAGCCGTTCGTTATTTTGGTTCGCTGTCGCATGGTAACAAAGTGCCAAAATTGAATTTTTCAATCATCAAAGGCCAGGCAAATCTGGACAATGGTCTCACGTGGACAGTAAATTTAGACACTGCCTAATAGGCAACTCAGATGATGTTCTGACAGCTGAGATATTCGCTTCCAAACTCGACCCCAGGATCGTATTCCGCATGAATCCATAACGCAAACCATTAATTTTGCGCGAGAACCCATGAGTTGCGTCATGAATCCATGCGAAATGCGATCCCGGGGACCAGTTTCTAGATGAATATCTTAGCCGTTAAAGCACTCCTGAGCTGTCGGTTGGGCAGTGGCTTAGTTAGGGCCCCAAGATTACTATCCACGTGAGAGCCCCATATGTCCAGATTAGCCTGCACGCTGCCTTTGAATGCAATTTTTTTGCTTAACTGATGCAGACATGTAGCGTGGCGTTAAAGAGTGAGCAGCCCAAAATCTTTTTTGGAGCATTCATATTCCGAAAAGAACTTGGAGCCGCTGGAATGTAATACCAATTCCAGGTGACACTTGCTACGAAACAGTCAGTGGAGCAAAAACCGCTTGTTTTGACGCTGCCCAGGTAACGCCAAGAGATGGTACCACAATTTTTAGTGAGTCATCATTTACAAACTGAAGTTCTACTATTATCTATTATTTCGCAGATGTTTCACAAATGCAAACCTTTCTAGGGTCAAATCCGCTACCAGTCACATGCCACGTCGATGGGCGATTTTCTCTCGAATATACACTCAGAGGAGCGAACCTGAAATGCGAAGCAGGATCCGAGTCAGAGGTAGTGCTTTTGATTCCAGTATCAAAATATTAGTTTGATTTTTTCGGTGTTTGAATGATTTAGGTGAACAATTGTGATTCTTCAAGCATTCTGAACGTTAAGTTCCGCAACTGTACTTTTCCGGATTTTGGTAGGCTTCTCTATAAAAGTACTTAACAAATAGTTAAAAGTTCCCATTTTTCAGATATGTACTTGAGATGCATTGGCTCATTCCTTGGACCACAAAAGGAACGATACATCATTGTCGAGAATGAGGAGAGCGAGGAATACCGATGCGGGGTAACCAAGGCTTTGTAGTTGTTATCTCAAATCTTTAATTCGAATATTTCAGTTGCTTGTGTCATCGTCAACTCAAGAGCTGACGATTCATTTCTCCAATGACTCATCTTGTGCATCACTTACAAGCAGTAATGCTTTTGAAACCTATAATCTCAAGCCAAGTAAGAAAACTACTGTAATCGTAATTTTTTGCTGAATATTTAGTGTGGTAAGTTTGATGTTAAGTGCAGTGCTTTCTGCGGTGACGACAACATTTGCGCGTAGAAAATGTCACGCTCTTGAATGTCGTAAATTTGCTTGCGAATGGCGCGTAAATCGTGGCCATAGGGCGCACACTGCCATTTACGCGCGAGTGTTGCCGAAAGCGGAAAAACGGTGATATCCTCAAACTATTAGGCTACAACAGAGTTGTTTGTAACTTAGTGTGTGAGGCTTCACACCGTGCGCGGCATTTTACGCTGCTTGCAAATAAGTCTGTAAAAGTGCTTGGTAGGACACCATGCTGAAAAAAGACCACTTACGCTTGCTTTTAGCAATGAATGATAAAAAGAAAAAAAACCCAAAAGAAGTCCTCAAAATCGACCCTCAAGCAAATAGTTCGTCGGATACCGCGTGTGTTGTGTGGTGCATTAAGTCATTAATGACTGTAATAAGGCAGCTCTTAGTTTTTAGAAAGGCTCATTTCAGTTAAATGTACTAAGTGTAAGTGAAATCAAATGAATGTAGATAAATACTAATTTTTTGAAGTCGATCATTATTTTTTGACATTTTCACTCATTCACTCATTCTTTTTCTTCCACTCAGTCTTTTTTCATGAATTTTCT